TAATGCATCTTTGGTTGTGAATCCATTTGTCCTTGTGGTTTCTACACTCCGTGTGTAAACCCTGTTGATTTGCATTGTTTTTTTCCTTTCCTGCATTCAAAACATTGAGACCGGTGAGTTTAGGCGGGGACTATCAGGGGCTGTCCCCTGCACGGAAGAGGAAAAGCCATCAATAAAAGATCTGTTATTACACAAAGCTCAGTCATCAATACTAACTTAAATTACATTTGCTTGTTTTTGAAGTTAGAATCTGTATGGTACGTTGCAGGAAAGGAGTTTTGACTACTTAGCTTGCCACAGGTTTACAAAAACTACTTTGTTTTTGTTTTGTAGACACTAAGGATTTGCACGCTACTGTTCATGTTTTCTTGGCAAATTCAACAATTTGTATTACTCATTTGTTTGTGATTCAATGATCATCGTAAAAGTTTCATTGTAATATTTCCTATGACGTAAATGCCAAATAATTGTTGTTTTTACTATGATTACTATGTGATTAGTTTTAAGGCGTTTCTTTAAGAGTTTGTAATGCTTGTGCATGAACAATTGTTAAAGGCATTGCATAACACACACCCTATGATTATTGGTCTGGAACAGTTAATTAATATCATTGCTCTTCCAGAATATGTTTTACCTGGTACTTAATGTTTTTACTCTTTTGTTGGTCTTGCATTCATCGAAATGAAAGCATTGTTTGAACAATTTCCATAGTATAGTTTTTCTATCTATTTTTAGTCATTCGTAGATATGTTTCTTTTTTATATACGACAAAAGTAAATGTCATCAGCAGTCAAAGCAAAACGCAAACAAAATGTTCTGTATATATCTATCTGATTTTGGTTTGGGCCGTGTTTATTCCTGGATACTCTTCTCCTGTTTCACTTTTACAATGTTATCAAATCCCTATCTGTGTAAAGTACTCAGTGGAAAGTTATAACAGAGGCAAACGCCATGCAAATGCTACTGTTTGCCTTCGCTATAGGGCATACTTTTGTGGCCACAGTTTTGCGCATCCGGCATCGAGAGCACCAGCTCTCCTCTCTATTCCTGGGAGGTCACTGGACAGTTTTTCTAAGGGGTGTCCACTGTCTTCCATATAACAAGATGAGTTGCTACTTCAGACTTCCACACTGGCAAGTGGAACGGTTTCCAAGAGACAGCCAGAAGACAATGAAAACTTACCAGATGCTCTTGAGGTTGGTAGACCGTTTGTGTAGGTCAAGGCTTTGTATCTTTGTTAAGAGTACAGTTACTGGCAGGTGGGTTTTGAAGCTCCTGTTGTTGGGTTTCAACAGCTGATTGGACTTTGCGTCGCATGTTGAGGGTCTCAAAGCTTACAAACACTTCTGCTTTTAGCTGTGTCTTGTCTTAATTGAAACCCACCATCGTCCAATGCGGTCTGCTGCATTCTCACAACGTCTCGAGTGCTGGTTTACAACAGGTGTTTGTAAAGCTAGAATGAGTCTAATTGTTATGTGCCTCTATTTGGCAAGTGCAATGATTTAGGGTGTTAAAAAGCAAAAAAAGAGCCTTTGGACTTAAAGTTCAAACTGGTGTTGTTGTATCACTACGAATCTTCTGTTCGCTTAGATGTCAGTAAAATAACGTCTTTGCGCGCACAGGCTTGTTTTTGGCACTCCTGACAGTTTTGTTTGTGCTTTTTGACAATTTTTATAAGCCTGACTTGTCACAATGCGGAAATTAACCACTTCAGGATCATCACAAGGAAAGGGAGAGTTAGAAACAACAAAGAAAACTCATATTTGCATCAGAGGACAGAATGTGAGGCCGCGACATGTTGCGACTTGTAAGGCAACTTAAGCTTTTGTCTCGCGTGCCCCCGACCGTGGGAAGTATTTCATTTCAGAGGTGTTTTAGCTCAAAAGCAAAGAACCTGGAGGCTGATGTTATCTTAGACTACAAAAGTCTGTCGGAGCTCTTTGGAAATGCGTCTTATGGCTCCACATCCGAACAACAGGTAAGAACAAACTAGAGGCGACTTCTCTTGTAAGACCGACTGGCAGTTACCATTAATCATATTGTTGATTCTTCTGGCTTGTTTTGCATGTGCTGACATAAGAGCTTGCCATTATATTTCTTATCACTATCACCAAGTTATGACGCATTCACGTTTTGCTTGGAGCAAAGATTAACGCGGATTAAGAACAATGTTGTCAGTACCGTCCTTTTGTGTGTGTGTGTTTTTTTTTTTTTCTCTTTCCTTTTTAAAATCTGATATTCTTTATGGAAACCTGTTTTTGAGTAAAGAAATCTTGGTAACTCTTTAATTTAAGGACCAATTCTCACTATTAACCAGTTGCTTATTAGCATGCCTTTTAATTGCATGTTGACTGTTTATTAGTACTTATAAAGCACATATTAATGCCTTATTCTTTAGATCCCTTAATCCTACCTTATATCAAAACTTAACAACTAACATACTAACTATTAATAAGCAGCAAATTAGAAGTTTATTGAGGTTAAAAAAGTTCAAATAAAGTCTGACTAAAATCTTATTTACAATAAGATAGTCACAATTATGAGATATAAAGTTGCAACTGTGAGAAATAAAATTCAGCAATTATGAGAAATTGTTACCTTTTCTTTTACTTTGCTCTGTAGTTCAAATGAGAGATTTTCATGTAGTTACATTTAGGCTTTACAAAAGACCACAGAATTTTCGGCTTTGCTGGTTTAGGATTTACCCATCCAACTGTTGCTTTTTTTTTTTTTACGACGCAACATTCTTTAACACTTGTGCACGATGAGTGTGGAGAAGCTTCGCTCTAACATTAATCTTCACAAGTCCGTTTAGAGCTTGAGGCTGTGCCATTTTTTGACAGTCAAATCCCTCCAAGCAAATTGCCGGAATATCTCTAGAACTACAAGTGCACTTGGAAGGAGGTGACAAATTCACACTTCCTGCACCTGGTTTGTGGATCAGCGCTCCTCAACTGGGGGAATATGAATAATTTTAGCCTCTTCACAATAGGAACTTAATAGCGCAAGACTCCTCGCAAGTGTTTATTTATAATGCACCAATGGTGGCAGGATCTTTCTTGAGTGCACTCGGTTCCCAGGGAAAGGAGGGGGTCTTGTCCTTGGTATCTAAATCTGATTTGGAAAGACCGTATCAAGTTTGCAGTTCACACTGACTGATTTGTAGTGAAAGAGTGACCTGAAACGAGTTTGACGACTGCCAGTGAATATCCAAAGTTTTAGTTTGTGGCACCTCCTCACAACCCAATGCAATTCCTGTATTTTTACAGACAAAACTTTGTTTGCTTGTAGGTCAGGCAAGTACATCGGAACAGAAAACTACGTCCTTTTACCCACACCACCTTCCAGATTGGCAAATCACTACTTCAAAAGAACAGATTGGTCTATTGAATTATTTTCTTCAAACAATTCAACCAAGTTGCTCAGCTTAACAGAAAACATTTGAGCTAAGTGTTCAACCTTATTCTTGTGCACAGTAAACGCACAGGCTGCTTTTGTGTTTTCCGAGTGGATGAAAAAGTACAGGAGGAACTGGAAACGGCCCAGTGAGTGTTCTGCTTTTCTTTTTTTTCTCTGCCACGGTCCATCGGCACATTCCGTTTGTATTGTTACCCCGCTGTGTTTCCTGCAGCCTATTGCTTTTGTCCATGTCATGCCCATTGTTTAAACTTCCTTTGTTCTTTCTCTGTAACAATGGGCATTATATATATATACATATATACATACATACATACAGAGAACTAGAGAGTGAAACAGAAAGGGAGAGATGCATTTTTCCTCGTGTTTGTTTTCTTTGGGTTGTCTTGTGTTTCTTTTGTCATGCACAGCGAAGGAGGAGAGGTGTTTATAGACCTCGGCTAATTTTGAAATCGCCTTCTCTTTCTTTCCTTCACTCCGTCCGTCTCTCTCTCCTCCTCTTGTCCTTCATTGCAGAAGGGTTTGCTGTGCTACTTGAGACGGCCAGATACTTGATGGGCACACTAGAGTCTTGCATTTGTTTTCTGACAGTGTGTTGACAGACTTGAGCAACTTGGGATATGCACACGCAACACAAACATGCACAAATATCCTCTCCCGACACTGAGCGGCTCCTGAACCCCGGTATATACATATATACATACATATATACAGAGAGCTAGAGAGTGAAACAGAAAGGGAGAGATGCATTTTCCCTCGTGTTTGTTTTCTTTGGGTTGTCTTGTGTTTCTTTTGTCATGCAGAGCGAAGGAGGAGAGGTGTTTATAGACCTCAGCTAATTTTAAAATATAGCCTTATCTTTCTTTCCTTCACTCCATCTGTCTCTCTCCTCCTCTTGTCCTTCATTGCAGAAGGGTTTGCCGTGCTACTTGAGACGGCCAGATACTTGATGGGCACACTAGAGTCTTGCATCTGATTTCTGACAGTGTGTTGACAGACTCGAACAACTTAGGATGCACACACACAACACAAACTTGCACAAATATCCTCTCCCAACACCGAGCGGCTCCTGAGCCCCAGAGACCCTGAAAAAGTGGCTTTGGTGAAAGAGTTTGAATGGGGCGGCCTGTGTCTGGGCTCTACAAAAACCCTTCTGTTCCTTATGCAAAGCAGTCAGCTGCTGTTGTTGTTGTTGTTGTTTTTTCCTGTGGTCTTTCTGTGCTGTGACAGTAGCTCTACAAAACCGGAATACCCTTGTTAGTAATGCAGTCTTATGTGGTCTCTTCTTGCTGAAATGCTAATTCATCATGAAATTTTGTACGCAGTGCATTTTGCTTCTGTAATGTGACGTATTTCTGGGTGAAACAGAATATTTAATGAGAGAATGTGTAGGATGGGAATCTGGAATTGATCGGATGCTCCAGAGCAGCTCTATATGACAGGTGGTTGGATGGGAGGGGATAAAAATTAAGAGGCCTTGATGATATCGCCTGAAAATTAAACTTGTTTCAGAGGCAGAGCAAATTATTTTTGGATTAACATGGACTGATTAATTCCATTTAAAATTTTCTGAATGGTTTGGTTTTGTAGAATGTGTGAGCCCAGTCCACCTGCTCTACATCCCCACGCCAAGGGCAATGTGACCATGGTGGGTGTTGGTATCAAGCTTGAAGACGACGAATCGGGAGGTAGAGTCGTCCAGCGGGAATCCCAGCAGTCCTCTCCAGTCAGTGATTGGTCAGTTCGGCAGCTGTCGGACAGAGACGACTCTGAGAAGTCAGCGCCCCCTAATGCACAATCTCCTTTGGTATGAAGTGTTTATGAATTTCAGTCTTGTTTTATAAATTAAAATCATAGTCCCCCCCCCCCCCCCCCCTTTTTTAGGCGAGTTCTCCCAGCAAAGACCCAGCACGAGCATACACACCTGCCAGTCAAGATGGAGGCAGTAGAGCTCATGATAAGACTGACAGCAAGCCTAATGTCAGTGAGGGTAAGTGCAATGGTTCCTTTACAAAAATAAGGTCTTCATGGAGTGCTAATTAGCATATTCGCACTTGGTCCATGGCATTCTTTGTGTTCCAATGTTTCAAGGCTGTTGTTTGAGAGTAAAAGAGGTTTTTGAAAGTTTTAATTTTGATGGAAACCCGTGCAAGTGGTTTGTCCATGTGTGTGTGTCATTAGAATACGATTGCTTTTAATGCACTCTACATTGAGATGATCCGAGTTCCTACTTTGCTTCAAGTTCTATGAAGCCTTTCAGCGGTTTCATTTGTATGATACATTTCACAGCTCTTTGGTTATTAAAGAGTCCTCGAGTGTTTTCTCAAAAGGCTTTCCTTTTGTTTTCACACATTCTATGAAATTGTTTCAGTTTTCAGTTTTTCTTTTGGTATAACTGGGGGTTTTAAGCTCAAGGATTTTCAGTAGTGTCTCTCTCATCGAGATGAAAAAAAGCTTTTCTTTATTTGCTTCTCTATTATGTCACTCTTTGTCTGTGTCTCCTTAACTACATAAAGGCGCTTCATTATATTAAGTATAAATATATATTGTATAAATTATATATTGTTAAATATATGAAA